TAGTGCAGCCAGCGATATGCGGCAGGGTTTTGCTGCGATTTCTGCAGCTGCTGAAATAGAAGAGTATACAGCAGCCTCAGCGGCAGCTACACCAGCTCTTGCAGCTGTGCTAGCTGCTGCTGCTGCTGAATCGGCGGCAGCTGCAGTGCAGCAGAAGAAAGGGCGGTAACGATCCGCGCCCAAAGAAGCGACTCAAATACAGGAGGGAAAGCTAGCAGTCGCAGCTTTTGCTGCAATGCTGAGCCGACAGCAGCTGCTGCTGCTGCAGCTGCTGCTGCTGCTGCAGTGCGTACGTAGGATTTGCCGTGGCTTTGCTCAGGCACGGGTTTGGAGGTGCAAGGCGCATGGTGCATCCGCGGCTTCTGATTTGAACGCTCCGAGGTGTGCATACACTCAACTGCAGCAGCAGCAACAGCAGCAGCAGCAGCAGCAGCGGCGGCAGCGTCGAGCTGGAGCAGCAGCAACAGGCGCCGCTGTTCGCTTGCCAGGCGGAGACAAGCAGCAGAAAACAATAAAACGACAGCTGCAATACGTTTACAGGGTCAAAAATACAAAACAACTTGTGCGCAGGTGTGATAAACACACAGCCACTACCTCCAGCACGCATGCAGCAGCAGCAGCAGCAGCAGCAGCAGCGGCAGCAGCAGCGGCAGCAGCAGGGACCGCTGTCTCAGCCGGAAAAGCCCTGGCTACTTCACGATCTGCAATTTCTTCTTCAGGCAGCAGCAGCATCAAGGGGATTCGCCTTTGCCGCTGCAGCGCGGCTCTGGGCCCCCCTCCCTGCCGGCGAAGGCAGCAGCAGCAGCAGCAGGAGCAGCAGCAGCAGCAGCAGGACGGGGAGCAACGCCAGAAGAAACAGAAGCAGCAGCTGCAGCCGTAACGTTGCTAACACCATGGACCAGACCGCGCGTAGCAGCAGCAGCAGCAGCAATCTTGCTGCTGGGGCCCCAGCCGCCCCCATGCTGGACACTGCAGCAGCCGCTGCGGCAGCAGCAGCAGCAGGAGCAGCCCCTAGAAGGACTGCTGCTGCACCCGTCTTCCGCTTGATTGCGGAGGCCCAACGCCGTGTAGAAACAGCAGCAGCAGCAGCAGCAGAAGACGCGCTGCACTGCCTCTCGGCGGGGGTTCAGCAGCAGCAGCAGCCGCAGCAGCAGCAGCAGCCGATGCAACAGCAGCAGATCGAGGCGACAGCACGAAGAGACGTAGACTGCGTTTTTCAGTGGCACACAGCAGCAGCAGCTGCTGCTACCGCTCCTCGACAGAGAGAGCCGCTGCAGCAGCAGCAGCAGGACACTGCCACTCCCGCAGCAGAAGCTGCAGCAGCAGCAGAAGCGGCTGCTGCAGTGGCAACTCCTGGAGCCCCTCTAAGCCTTGTAGACGTTTGGCAGCAACCCCCTCTCTTCCCGGTGTACATACACCTCAAGACACTGACGCGGGGGTTTCTGCCTGCTGCACTTGTTACTGCGCTGCAGCAGCAAGCAGCAGCAATAGGAGTGCAGTTGCTGCCAGAGCTGCAACAAGTGTGTCTCTTCCAGGGCAATACCGCCTATCTGCTGCCTCTAGCAGCAGCAGCAGCAGCAGCAGGAGATGCAGCAGAACCCTCTGTGCTGAGGCTAACAGCAGATGCTCCTATTGTTGCTG